GGGCTCCCTTGGCAGTCTTGTCTCCATCTCAGCAGGGAGGCACTTGGCTTGGTGCATTTTCGTTCTCTTGCTGGTTTCCTGCTTTTTCTCTCTCTGGTTGTTTGCTGGTCTCTCCCTCTTATGCTTCCTTTATGCCATCTCTGTTCTGGGGCTCAGAAATCTGCAAAGCGATGGGACTGATACAGGAAAGGTCTGTTCTTGGCAGCACAAATGGAATCCGAGAGGCCAGTGACCTTCTGATGTATGAGGGAAGAGTGACATTTGGCCGAGAGGTGCTGCATTTGCCTTGGAGAATGATGCATACCAGGAATGGGCTGGAGTGTTCATGTAGCCGGTTCCCATCGTGGCTGGAGTTGAAACGTGTCAAGGCCTTGAAGGAAATTGACACCATTTGGTCTCTGAGGATGACAGAGGGAGCCTGCTACCGTGGACTTAGCTGTGGGTTGAGCGGCTGAGGAACCTTGAGCGGTCAAAGACCTCCTGGGGACTTGGACGTGGCAGCCTCCTAAATGGCTCCATTTGTCACTCACTCTCGTTTGCCAAGGCAGCCTTGGTGCTGAGCATGGAGAAATGGATGAACAGAAGGCTGGCCCCTTCCCTTCCTTTACCCTTCCCCTTGCTGTCTGCCGGCCCAAGCCCACGGCCCCCTCCCTTCATGCAGAACAGTCTCCTCTCTGAGGCTTGGCATGAGCCATGGGGCTGCTGGGAAGGAAATAGGCCACAGTGCAGAGTCACGAGATGCTCCTTTCCCCTGTAGGGCACCGATGGCCTGGAGAAGGGGCTTTGTGCACATTGCCTGGCGTCCAGGGCCTTTGCTCCTCTTCCTGTGTCCTCAGTGTGGTATGAGGGATGAGGGGGTCAGGAGGCCAGGGTGTACCTGGGGGCCAGCCACCTGCCTCTGGAGCCTGGTAGTGACTGGAGAGGGGGCATGTGCTCATGCTGCTCTGGGTGGAACCTAGACTCATCTTGGCACAGGGAGAACGGGTGTTGTTGTCCTTCTCTGGGAAACTCCAGGAAAAGCTGTTCCCTCTTTGGACTTGGCAGTGGCAGGCGCAGTGCAGGGATAAGACGTGTGTTGAGGAGGAAGACAAAGATGATGCCTGCCTGCCTGGGCGCCTGCTCTGTCCGGCTCTCTCACGTAGATGTCTTGTTGGGTCTTTATCTCAGCAGCCCAGTGTGGGAGATAGGCAGCCGCAGCCCTCACTGTTTGGTAACTGGGGTCATAGTCAGCTTTCTTATTGCTGAACACAATACCCAACGCCACTTAAAGGGGATTCAGTCCATGGTCAGCTGACTCCAAGTCAGGAAAGTCACGGCGGAAGGGTGTGGTGAAGCAGAGCTGCTTAGCTCACGGTGGCTGGGAAGCAGAGCCAGGGAATAGTGCCAGAAAGAAGGGGTGAAGGACCAGATACAGTTTCCTGGGTCATACCTCTGTGACCCATCTAGACATACCCAGAAGTGTGCTTTAGTCTTGAATCCCCTGAGTGGCTGACAAGCCAGTCAGATTGACAGTCTATGTTAACCACAATAGCAGGGACACTGAGCACCAGACACAATAGGCCAGCCCAGAGCCACACAGGGACTAAGCATGGGAGTAAGCCAGGGACTAAGCATGACCGCGTGACAGATGCTCCCTCCTCTCCCAGCAGCTGGATCAGCCCCCTCCACTCATTGACGAGCCCCTCTGCCGGCCCTCTTAGGGTCTGGGCTCCGTCCCCTGGTTTGTTTCCTGTGCTCCCACCTCTGCTCCTCATGCCTGGCCTCTCTGGGCCCATCAGGGAATTACTTTGGATTGCTCCTGTTCCATGTTCTCCCTGCACACGATTGGTTCCTTCTCCAGCCTGTGGAGCTGAAGACATTTTGAGAGATTCTATGAATGGTGAGCCAGCCAAGATCCTGTAGTTCCTGGGGGTGGAGCCACTTAGGAGGCTCCCAACACATGAAGGTTGAGCTAGGGCTGCTCAGGTCTGCTGTGGCAGGCACTGTCGTCCCCCAGGACTGAGCCAGTGGTGCTTCTTGCCTGTGGCCTGGACCCCACTGCTGGGGCTTCCCTTCGGACATTCTGCCAACATCCATGCAGTTCCCATCTCAGTCTGTCAGTCACGTGGCAGGAGCAAGGATGACCGGATGTGGACCATCTCATCCCTGTCTGCAGGGGCTGCGCCTGACAGGGCTGCGTCCAAGCTTTGCTCACCCACCTGCAGTCCTGCTCCATGACAACGCCTGATCACATCCCCGTGGCTCCTTCTAGAGGGAGATTTGGCCAAAACAATGCTGTCTTCAAAAGTGTTATGTCAGGCCGGGGATTTAGCTCAGTGGTTCTGTCGCCTGTCTTATAAGTGCAGGTTCCCGAGTTCAATCCCTGGTACCCAAAAAAAAAGTGTTTTGTTGTTTCCTGAGGCTTCTGTAACAAAAGTACCAGAGCTGGGCAGCTTGAAACAGAAATATGTTCTCTCACAGCTCTGGAAGCCAGAACTCTGAAATCAAGGCAGGGTCATGCTCTCTCCAAAACCCAGAGAATCTGTTTCATGCCTCCCTCTTAGCTTCTGGTGTTGTTGGCAGTCCTTGGTGTTATCTGGCCTGCAGAGGTATCTGTCTGGTCTCTGCCGCTGCTGTCACAAGGTATTCTCTCTGTGTCTGTGTCCGCTCACTTATGAGGACCCTAGTCCTTGGATGTAGGGCCCACATAATCTACTGACCTCATCTTAACTTGAGTACATCTTCAGGGACCTTATTTCTGACAAGGCTGCATTCACAGGTACCAGGGTTTTAGAGGACTTCAATATGTTTTTGGAAGGGGCTCAACTCACAGTAGATTTTGTTTTGTTTGTCTCCAAATTCTATCTGTCTATCAGTCTCTTCCCCCACTCAGCCCACTGGTAGGTCTCTAGAGATCCAGGACATGGGCAGAGACCACCCGTCCTTCCACCCACCTTCTCTCAGTTGCCCCCTTGCAGAGTGGGACAGACTCTGGCTTTGATGGTCAAGGCCATGTCTTGTACTGCAGAGGCAGGGACATGGCTGGAAATGCTGCTTTTCCTGTTTTGGGGCTGGGTGGTGAGGAGACAGAGGGTGCAGTAATGGGTCGGGGGAAGGCAGAGATGACGCACGCTTCCTTCTGTGCTGTGGATGGTGGCATCCACAGAAGTGCAGAGGGTCTGAAAGGACCTCAAGGGCTCAAGACTCATTCTCACACGGGAGCTGATGCCTGGCCGGAAGAGTATCTGCCTACTGCTGGAGTTCTGGGCTCAAGTCTTGGCTCCTCTGCTTTCGAGCTCTGAGTTCTTCACCTAATTTAGCTTCTCTGGGGTTCAGTTTTCTCATCTGTCAAATGGGATAATAATAATTGCTTGTCAGACCTCACAGATTTTCCTGAAGATTAAATGATAAAGATGGATGTGAAGGCACCAGTTTAAAAGTCATTGTGATAAAATAAGGTAAACTTTATCCATTAAAAACATATAACATGGCGGCATTAAGTACATTTGCATTGTTGGGCAGTCTTTATCATCACCCCAAATGGGAAGGTACCATTGAAATGATAAACCAAGAGTACTTTTTATTCATTTGGTAAATAAGGACACTGAGTGCCTGGGGAGCAAGGGACTTGCTCATGGTCACCAGTGCGTTAGGGAAGAGCTGAGCTGAGAACTCCTGGCCCTGGATTCTCATGACTTTCCACCAGAGGGGTCAGATGTTTGCAGAGGTGTCCTCCCTCTCAAAACTACCCTCAGGACTTGGGGCCTCCAGGCAAATGATAGTCTGTCCTGCTGGTGCCCTTGGGCCTGCATGGTGGCAGGTCTTCTCCGCAGGCACTGACACTTTCCCTGTGAAGCCTGGGATCTCTCCTCACTCAGTGTCTCTCAGCCTCTTGTCCCGTATCCCTCTATACATGCCTTTCCCAAATGGGACACGATTCCAGTGAAGAACCAGGAGAACTGAATTTGGGGTGAGCTTGGGGATCACTTTGTAAGGTCCCTTATGTGCCAAGAGCCTGGGCGAGGAGCCAGGTGACCCAGGTTCTGGTCCTTCCTGTGAATCTTGGCTGACACTAGTTTCTGAGGTCCCAGTTCTCACAGCTGCTGTGACACTCAGAAGATGTGACACAGAGACCACCTGGCCAGGGACACTCACCTGACATGGTGGGTGTGGAAGTATCCTTCTGGGCCCAAGTGATCCCAAACCAGAGAGCACTGGGGCAGGAAGAAATGGGAGCCCTCGTGTGTGTGAGACTTGGGTGTCTGGTGCTCCTTGTAACGTGCTCTGTCCAGCTCTGGGGCTGGGGACCGGGGACCGATGTGATCAGACAGCACCTGCCTTTAAGCAGCTCCTGGCCGAGTGGGAAGCACAGAGCTATCTATGCACACTGGTTATATCGCATCATCAGAGGAGCGGGCAGTGGCCCGCTGCAGTCACTAGGGGAGGACAAGGCTGGTGCCTGGGAGGTGGTGGAAAGGTGCCGGGGGCTTTGCTCTGACGCGATACCCAAGAGCCAGGCAGGAACACCTGTGCGATGTCCCCGAAGCCCCTTCTCCTCTCTGGGTCTGGCTCCTTTCAGCCTCAGACAGATCCTGTGGGGTGGCTGGGGCAGGGATTATTGGACCCATTTTTCAAGTGGGAAGAGTGATGTGTTGAAGACTTGGGCAGGGTCACCCAGCCTTGTGGCCGAGCAGAAAGCAGAGCCCCGCTCTCCGGCCCTGGCTAAGGGCACTCTGCAAACCCAGCCTGAGTCCTTCTCCTGGGAGGAGCCATTGAGAGTGTGCTATTGCTGTGCCTTTTTGGGTCTTTTTTGTCATTTGTCACTGGACTTTTCTGTCCTCAGCTTGCTCACAGCCCAAGGTGCTCAACACTTGGTCCCCCACGGTCCCCTTTTCCCTCTTTCTGGCATCCTCAGCCCATCTGGGAGAGCAGCAGGGAGGGGCCACTCTGCGCTGGCCGGACAGAGGGGCCTGGAAGGCCACCACACTAAACGCCTCTCTTTGGGTCTTCTCCCGACACAGGTCCCGGCTGGCGGACTTCCACACCAACTGTCGAGCCTCCTACCGCACCCTCACCAGCTGCCCTGCCGACAATTACCAGGCGTGTCTGGGCTCCTACGCGGGCATGATTGGTAAGCTCCTGCATGCTCTGCGCTGGCTGAGATCTTTGCTGCCCCAACATTGCCGGGCAGGTGCATGGCCCAGCTCAGGGCTGCTGGGAGTCAGGCTGAGCTCAGCCTTCTCTGTGACAGATTCAGACAGCTTTTGGGGGGGACTAGTGGGGAACCAATTCTTTAGGAAGAAGGGGATTGAGGAAGGCCCCAGAGGCCTTGTAAGCCTTTGGAAATAAAAAAAAAAAAGAGGTATCTGTTGCATGGTTCTGACATTCTAGGTCTTTACTTATTGGATTCTCCCTGCAGGTCTTGCTAGTAAGGTATAGATGTCTCCATTTTACAGATGTGGAAGCTGAGGTGAGAGAAATTGAGTAGCTTGCCCAGGCTCACCCAGCTGGTAAACACTGACCCTGGGACCCAACCCAGGACAGGAGCCTTCGTCTCTCTGACTCTAGAGCTAGGCACTTCCTCGTGGGTGAGGGCAAAGCAAGGGCACGCTCTGCACAGGGCTGTGCGTCTTCCTTGCTGTCCTGGTGGTGAGGAGCCTGGTTCCCGAGGCCTCGGCCCTCTGCCCTCGAAGACCCCGAGGTTCCTGGGGTAGTAGTGCTCAGTTAGGATGGCAGGGTGCTGTGTGTGTACCGGGGGCAGGGGGACTCCCGCCCTGTTGCACCTGGTGTCTGGGGCCCAGAGGAAAGGTCCTCTTGCTCCTGTCTCCTTTCCCTCCCGCTCTCTCTGCCCAGGGTTTGATATGACCCCGAACTACGTGGACTCCAGCCCCAGCAGCATTGTGGTGTCCCCCTGGTGCAGCTGTCGCGGCAGTGGGAACATGGAGGAGGAGTGCGAGAAGTTTCTGAGGGACTTCACTGAGAACCCGTGCCTCCGTGAGTCAGGGAGCGCTCTCCCCACACCCAAGTGCCCCGGACCCTCTTCCCAACAGCTACCTGGGAGGGGACCTGGACCTGCCTGCCCTGGCCACTCGCTGCCTTCTTTTCTGATGGCCACCATGGGTGCTGTCTGTCCGTGGGGACCCTGGGTCTTGAGCTCTTTCAGATTCACAGTAGAGCTGTCAGTGGACCTGCCTCAGTTTACCACCAGAGTCCTTGAGCCTATGTCAAGCCAAGGGCAAAAATTTCTGTTATTCTGACAGCTTTCTCCAGCTTCCTTTGGAGACTGAGCCCCACCCTATAAGGCTCTCAGGCACCTGCTACCTTTCATTTTAACAAGTATTTTTCCTGGAATCTGCAACTTTCTTTTAAATAACTCCTCATCCCAAATCTGGAGAGAGAAGGGGGCCACAGTCAAGCTCTGTCTGCTATGAGTTTTGCAGTTGGACACCCCTTGCTGGACACTCCATCTGCAGGTCTCTTCTCTCTTTCTTTTCTTCTTCCTGTCCATCTGTCCATCCCTCTTCTTCCTTCCTTTGTTTGGTACTGGGAGAGGCAGAGGTTCTAGGGCCTGTCATTGAGGAGCACACAGTCCGGTGGAAGTAAATTGAGGGTTACCTGTGATCACAGTACAGGGTGAGGAGTCTGAGGGTGGAGTTCTGTCTGGGATTCTTCAGGGGCTCAGGTTGGGGACCCCACACCAGCCAGGAGGAGGATGGCCCCGAAGACTTCTCAGAGGCTGTATCCTGTGAAGATAGTCCAAACTGGTCAATGGAAGAGGCAGGGAGCTTATCCTGGCGGGCCCCAGGGCCCTCCAGAAGATGAGTTTGTTGAAGGAACTGCAGAGTACTTGGCCTTGCCACATAGCATTGAAGATGACCGGAGTGACAGTCATCTGGACAGGTAGAGAGCACCCTCCTCTTGCAGACCCAAACAGGATGGCACAGGATGGATGAAAAGATGCCAGCAGGTGATCCCAAGGTTGTGGCATGGAGGTCCCTGGGGCTAGGGATATGATTCTGATGATTGGCCCAGTAAAAGTTCCGTGAGAAGGCTGTAGCTGATGCTCATGGGAGAGGACGGTGATGACGGAATACAGCAGGGGGAATGGACGAGATGGAGTGCAGAGATCTTTAGGAGGTGGCCTCAATGACCTGCCAGTGGGTGAGTGGACAGGCACCATGGGGTGACCCTCTCCTGTCCCCTTGGGTTTCTGGCTTGGGGGACTTGGGTAGACAGAGATGACACCTTAGGATTAGCAATATAGGGGAAGGAATTGTTGGCAATGGTGAGAAGAGATGCCTAGTTCAGGTTTAGACAGGAGGATTTTGAAGTGTATTTGGGATGTTCAGGTGAAGATTTCTCTGTAGGTTTGGTCTTAGGGACAAAGGTTAGTTTCAGAGGTCTGATGAGTCAGCCCCCAGTGAATTAGTGCTAGCTGACAGCATGGAGACGGAGAAGCTTCCCCAGGAAAGTTTATGGTGTGGAGAGGAAAGAGGGCTAGTCTGCAGCCCTTGGAATGCCAGCGCTGGGGACCTGGAAGCACTCAGGACAGCGAGTGAGTGGGACAGCCTGTGAGTAGGGGTCTGGGGCCTGGGGGGAGCTTTCCCAGCAGGGTCTGCAGCACTGATGGCCCTGCCACTCTTGGCAAAGCCCCACCTCTCCCCTGGTTCCCACACTTCTTCTTCCTCCCTCCTTTCCTCTGCTGTAATCCTCATCATGTACGTTTTTTCCATTCTGGTTTATGTCTTTTCCACCTTCCTCTTGCTGTTTCCCCCTCTAGATGTGAACTTTTGCAGGTCTGAAAAGGAGCCTCAGCAAGGTTAAATTCCATGTGCTTCTGTTTGTCCCTAGGTTCTGGGTTGTTCCAGGGCAGAGCAGTCAGGGAGGGGAGCTGGGGCAGAAAGGATGGGAGCAGGTCCTGATTTTTCCACATGTGCCCGTTCCTCCGTTCCCCAGGGAATGCCATCCAGGCCTTTGGCAATGGCACAGATGTGAATGTGTCCCCCAAGAACCCCCCATTCCAGGCCACCCAGGCCCCTCGGGTGGAGAAGACTCCTTCTTTGCCAGATGACCTCAGTGACAGCACCAGTCTGGGGACCAGTGTCATCACCACTTGCACATCTGTCCAGGTGAGGCGAGTTCTACAGCTTGGGAACTGGAACCAGGGTAGGCTGAGGGTCTGGGAAAGCACCTTGGTGTTAGGAGCCATGTGAGACCCATAAAATGGGCCAGGAAAGGGCACTGAAGGTCCTCCTTTAGGTCAGAGCCCCAAGAGGCAAGGAGGAGCTGGTGGGGCTGTTCTTTGCTCAGTCATTTAGGAATTCATGTTGCAAGTTTGAAACACCTGTTACAGCGCAGTATTGTACTAGACACCACAGGGGTACAGAGTAATGTAATGCTTCCCATTTGTCAGCCATCTGCTAATTGCCAGGTAGTGTGCTAGCCCGTTCTCTTCCTGTCTCATTGAATTCCTACCCAATGAAATATTGGCATTCTTGTTTTTAGAGAGGTTAGGTCACATATCCAAGATCACATAGCTGCTGGTGGTAGAATGCCATTTCAAACCTATATCCGACTCCAAAACCCTACGGTTCATTTGTTTGTCTGAACATCCATCCATCCATCCATCCACCCACCCAACCACCTACTCATGCTCTACAAGTTACATGTAAGATCTTACGTGAGATCCTGGGGATACATTGGTGAGTGAGGACAACACAGTCTTGAGTTTGTGGTTCTGTGGTCTTATTGAGGTTTAGACAATGAAATAAGCGTCAGTCAGCGCCATGACAGGGGACATGTAGCACTATGGAGGTGTGGCCCAGGCTCCTGTTCAGCCTCTCATTCTGCTGAGTTGCCCGCGTACTGTCACACCTTGAGCTGTGTAGTAGGTTCTCTGCTGAAGAGCTTGGTTAGGCAGGCCCTACATATATGTGTGCACACACACACACACACACACACACACACTCATGTACACATCCACTCTGGAACCAAGAATTTAGGGCAGCATATGGGGGAGAGCAGAGGAGGGAGGGAGCGGAGACTCTAGGAGCTCTCTTGGGGTTACCTTTCTTGATTCTGTCCATGCCAAATTGCCCTCTGCCTACCTTGGGCTCCCACTTTGCCTTGTCATCATTTGAGCCCCATCATCTGTGCTCTCTTCCCTCCTGGGCCAGTGTCCCCGGAAGCCTGGGTGGCACCTCCCCCTTTGTGTCACTCTGCAGAACCAAGTACCCAGGGCCTGGTGTGGAGCAGGTGCACTGCACAGGTTAGAGGAGAGAACGGACAGGCCTCAGTTTGTTTGAACTTGCTGCTGTTTTTTCAAAGAGGGTCTGGGTGTCTTCTCTGCAGCTATGTGTTCAGTTCCTTGGCCCCTCCTGGATGCCGTCTGGGTGCACAGGGTGGGGGAAAGGGAGGGTAAAGTCAGTTTTTTCTGTTTAAGGCGTGGGAAGATTGTTCAGGAGGCTTTTGGTCTTGTGGTGGCACCTGGATGAGGGCATGCAGTGGGGATGAGGGAAGACCAGCGACAGACAGGGTTTTGCTGGCCATGGCCTGTTCCCTCCACTCCTGACATTCCCCTTGAGTTGCTCTGGGCTCAGTCAGAATGCCAGGGCCCCTCAGATCACCGGGACACTCACCTTTCCTATGACGGGGGAGTACTAGGGACACTCATCCTTGTCTCCACCAGCCACTTTCACCTCTTCTGCTCGACACTGCCAATCACATAGCAGGATGTTTAGAAATGAGTTTGGAGGGGCTACCGGAAGGCCTCTCACTTCCTGCCTGAAGCAACTTTAGCAGCTAGCAGCCCCCTCTGTCTGCTTCCTCATCCTCTCTGCTGTGGGGATGGGTGTTTCACCAGCTCACAAGCCAGAGAGTGGCCCATGAGTGCATGTGTTCATTTATTTCGGTATAGGGTCTTACTGCATGTCACCTGTCCCGGCCACTGAGTCTGACCAGCTTAATCGTCCAGTACCCTGGTCCTAATACTTCTAGGAAGGACTGGAGGCCTGCTCAGACGCTTCTGAGGGAAACGGTCACACCAAGAGGACTGATGAGATGAGGTCTGGGGAGGAAAGGATGGTTTTTCAACGGAGAGTGGTGGAAACTGAAGACTCGTGACAAGGGCAAACCTGCTTCCAGGCCCGGAAGGTTCAGGACAGTGGACTGTAGAAACTGAAATCGGATTGGAGCACATGCGGGGCTCCCAGGCAGAGGGGCAAGCAAGAGTCGATGCTTGGAGTCAGCACAGTGTAAGGAGAGTGTGTTCCACAGGGCCCCCTGCCTGCTTTATAACATGTACCGCTGGAACCCAGCCATAGCTTTTGTTTGCGTGTCATCTCTGTGCTGCAGGGAGAGCCGTGTATGGTGGTTGTAGCAAGAGACTGTGTGTCCTGCAAAGCCTAAAATGGTTGCCTCTGGTGTTTTATAGAAAATGCGTGTTGCCCCCTGGCCCTGACCAGGAGGAGATGCAGGCCATTGGCTTGGGTGGGACACACAGTGCTTGTATGGGAAGGAGGTAGGGTGCACCCGTGACTCCCAGGCTGGAGTGGTGAACAGCGAGGCCTGGGAGGTGCTGGACATAGGGGCGTTGAGTCTGATTGGAGCCATGGCTGTGGAGGGTTCATCTGACAGGTGGAGATTTGTAGACAAGGGAGAGAGATTGGAGTCAGAAGAACGTCTTTGGAGATCCTTTCAATATTTGGAGGTGAGAAATAGGATGTTGTTGGGGCAGGGAGGGGGATGAAGAAGTGAGAGCCACAGGGGTAGGGGTGCATAGGAAGGATGGGCCTAGGGGTACAGGTGAGGAAGGAGTCCAGGGGAACTGGGATTTGGGGATGGGGCCAGGAAGAGAAGCAGGGAACATGGGGAGAGCCAGCAGCTGTCTGTCTAACTGGACAGCTTTGGAGTTAGTCACTTGCACCTGCGCCAGGCCAGTGAGTCTCTGGGACTGCCAGCCTGGGCTTTGGGGGCACAGGCTGGGGACAGAGGTCGGCAGCAAATGAGAAGAAGACAGTAACTTCCAACTTCCTGAGCAGAGGGGCCTCTTTGGGAGAAAGTTCTAGAAAGCCTAAGCCCGCTCCGCCTCCGTCCTTCCTCCTGTCTGTGTCCTTACACTGGCCCCCTCTTTCCCACTGCTGGTGGCCTCCATGGCACAGCCCGTCGGGGCCAGCTCTTCCCACAAGGTCTCTCTGCCTGCCACTATGCCGCAGGGAAGCCTTGTGTCCTGCCATCCTTGCAGCCTGTGCCCTGTGGGGAGCCGTCACCCCACAGACCCTGAGCCCGCCTCAAGGGGCTGAGAGCCTCAGAGTGGGGGCTGGGCAGGGCCTGGAGTAACCCGTGGCAGCAGAGTCAGGGAGAGCCCAGTGAAGCCAGCCTTGAGGGGTCATGGCCCCTGGGACAGCAGCGGCCCAAGGCTGTTGGGAGAGGACGGTGGCCTTCTCTCCTTCCTGGGGTTTCACTGGCCTGGAGGTGGTTGTGTGGAGGCTTATTTCTCTGGTAAGATGTGAGCCCCATTTCTGTGCCTCTCAAGGGCAGGGCTGAGGGTCCTTTAGGGGAGATGGTTCCCCAGCTGGTGCGGGAGGGAGGCAGTGGGTCTGAGCCCCTGGTGGTGGTGGAATTTCTTTCTCTGCACCTCCCCAAGCATGCATGTGCCACTTTCAGAAAAGTCTGCCTGTGGTCAGTCACTCCCACCGTGAAGGCCTCAGGTTGGCTGTGGGCCGAGGTTGCTGAGGCCTGCACTGTCTGCTCCATGTTTTCTGGAAATCAAGTGGGGTGGAGACCTCCTGAGCCCTTTGCTTCCCAAGCTGTCATCTGCTGCAAAGAGGCTGCAGGAGGCTGGAGAGAGGGCAGGAGGCTGGCTGCCTGGGGTTCACCTCCTGGCCCCTTCCTGGCCTCTGTGCTGCTTTGCTCTTGGGCTCTGCCTTGGGATGGAAAAGTGGGCTTGTCTCTGCTTCATGCTGTATGGAATAAGCAGCGATCCCTTAGCTTTGGGGGAGCACTGCCGTCATCAGGGTGGCTTGTTATGTCCCCGCTTAATAGATGAGGAACCTAGGGCTCAGTACGCTTGCCCTGTGTCATTGGAAGATCCAGACTTGGGCCCAGATCTCCTGCCTCTTGAGCCCTTTGCTCCTCATTCTGTTTTTGAGTGACCTTTGCATGAAGGGCCTGTTCTGTGGACACCAAGAGAGAGGACCCTGCAGTGTACACAATGAAAGGCTGCAGGGGGTCTATGTGGACAAAAATCCATAAACTAATCTGGCAGCCCCCGAAGGAAGGGTTGAGGGCAGCATTGGAGCCCAGTGTATTCTCCGCATCCAGTGCTGTGGCTGGTCAGCCCTGGCCCAAACGTCCCTTGCCTCAGAAGTACTCTCTCTCCCCTCTCATCTTCCCTGTGTGAGCTCTGCCAGCACCCCTGCCCCTCTGCCTTCTTGGGAGGAACCTGTTGAGTCCTGCTCATTCAGGAGCAGAATGCAGGCCTAGGCCAGGTGCTCCAGAGGGCACTGGCCCTCCGATCTTATCTCCGCACACCTGGCGGAGCTGGGGAAGGACACGCTGTGCTCGGGGCTCAGGCGCTTTGCTGGCTCCTCTGTGTGGGTTGACCTTGGGGTAGCACCTGCCTGAACTGGCAGTGTCTAGTCTAGGACCTGCCTGAGAGTTGGCATCCCTGGTCAAGGAACGTTGTGCCGGCCCCATTTTAGGGGACAGCTAGTCTTACTGTTTTGTCAGGCTTTATGTTTTTAAGCAGTACACTGTTTTTGTTTTTTTTAAAAAATTATACATAGGTATACTGAATAGAACAAATGAACACAGAACAGCTTTGGTTGAAATGGGATAGGCTCTTGTGTCCCTGGAGGTTGCTTCTCTGGTTCTACATGGGCTTCATATTTAGTGAGCACCATGGGGAGTGGGGACAAAGAGACCCCAAAAGGATCAGGACTACACTGTCACAATTAGGACAGTCACACCAGGAAGTGATGGCAGATATGAGTAGGCACGGGGTGGTGTATGTCGCAGGCAGGTGGGGACTGATGTGCCTGCATGAGGACTGGCGAAGGGGCAGGGGAGGGCAGGCGGGAGATGACAGTAGTGGCCTCTCAGTTGGGATGGTCGTGTTCTGGTCGCTGCAGTGGCCTCTCGTGCCTCTGCTTAGAGCAGCACCATGGTCCCAGGAGCTAGTCCTTGGGGCTGGATGTGTGACTGTGCAGAGGGACACAGTTGGTGGGTTGGCTGGGGTGTAACTTGGGACCTGGAGACATGGGGATTGTAGTCTTGAGTAGGATCCTCCTGGGCAGGATCTGGTTCTGTTCCTGCTGTGCCGATCATCACTATTGTCCTATCTCCACCGTTGGCAACAACTCTACTCTTGGCCGGGGTCTCTGTGTGACAGCTGGGACCTTGTTTAGCTGACCAGATGTCTTGGGTGGTCAGTTGCCTGTGATGTCCAAGGCATTATTGATATGTCTGGCCAAGAGCAATGATTTAGGCATAATTTCTTGGGGTTCCCAGTTGCTTTTGGTGGCCAGAAATTCCCCACAAGTACCATGGGAACCAAGCTATTTGAAGCCAGGATAGAAGCACTGCATCCCCAGCTGGTTCCCATGGATCTTTATCTTGATGATGCTAACAAAGGACTGCTTTTCATCCACAGTATTCATGCAAGGGCAGAGGACTCTGGAACCATCATCACACCAGCCTTCCTTTTCCATTCCTCATCTTTCTACAGATTTCCCAGGTGCTGCACATCTGTTTGGGGTGGAAATGGCCTGGCACAGATGCCAGATATCGCCTAACATGCGCCAGTGCAGACATCGCTAATCGGTCACAGCTCTCCTTCCCCTTGAGTCCAAATGAGGGCTTATGATTCTTTTCTATAAAGCTCTCTAGCAACGAAGGCAAATAACAGGAGCTGGCACCCAAATGCCATTTCTGATCTGTGGCATCCATTCACCTCTTCATTCATGCATGCATCTAGTAAAACGTTGATTGAGTTTCTGTTACAAGCTACATACTACTCCACACAAGGAAAAGAAACCTGGTCCCAGCCTTTGAGGGGCTCTGAGTATGTAGACACACGTGGAAGTGGCTGATAACTGCAAAATGTTGTAAACTGGAGAGCAAGGTTTAGAACTGTGTTTTCAGGAGCTAAGAGGAGCCACAATCTAATTGCTGAGGATTTCAGAATGGGCAGGGCCTTTTGTGCTGTGTAGGACCAAGGCAGTAAATGCCAGGGCTTATCTGAGTCACTGGGATGGCCTGGCCCAGAAAAACCTGGTGACCTGACCTCATTTTTGCCTTCTCTCCCACAGGAGCAGGGGCTAAAGGCCAACAACTCCAAAGAGTTAAGCATGTGCTTCACAGAGGTGAGTAGAGGTAGAATGGGGGTGGGTGGGTGCAGGAGAGTGGCCCAGAGCAGGCTGTTTTCTAGGTGAGCCTTGCACTTAAAGCTCCTGAATCCCATTGCTCAGGCTGGGCCAGCTGAGCTTCTGGTCCCACCTGGACCTGAGTAGGCATCACTCTGCTGGGTGGAGGAGTGCAAAGACTATAGCCAGAGCCCATGGCTGCCTCCCCCAAGGAGTGGCTGCTTTGAGTGGAGGCCCTCTCACCACTTCCCTTACTCTTTAGAACCTGTTCAGGGCTGGGGCAGTGATATTTACAAGGCTCAGAGATGAATAAAGACACAGTCCTTCCCTTGAAGGAATCCGCCCACCTAGGCGTCTGTGACTTACAGATCTAAGATGGTAACTTGGGTGAGAAGGGGCCAGGTAAAGTTCTGCAGGAGGGAGAGAAGCTCAGTCAGGCTGCTAGAGGAGGAGGCATCCTGTACATTAGGAATGGAGAAAATGCCTCCCTCCCCTCTCCTGTGTCCCCCAAACAGGTCCTTAAGGTCCCCTGACCTTCTCTTGGGGTCTTGAAATCAACTCCCTCGTCAGTCCTGATGTCCTGCCCACTTCCTGTACCTGAGGGCTCAGAGCCCGGAAGGGGCCAAGCAGTCCCTGTGCTTCTGCCCTGCCCAGCCCCATGGAAGCCCAGCTCCACCTTCTGAGTGCCAGAAAGGGTCCTCTACATGGCCCTAGAGGTGGGGCTGTAGGTGGGGTTGTTCCTGATTCCAGCCTTGCTGATGTTTTGTTGTTGTTGTTGTCATCGTTGCTGGTGGTGTTGTTCTCTCTCTGTGTTCTACTTCTGCTGTGGACTCAGCTCACGACAAATATCATCCCAGGGAGCAAAAAGGTGATCAAACTTAACTCAGGCCTCAGCAGAGCTCGACCGACGGCTGCCTTCACCGTGCTCCCCCTCCTGATGCTGAAACTGGCATTGTAGGCGCTGGGGACTGTGTCTTGAGATTTCTACAAGCTACAGAACTCCCGCCTGAGAAAATGGAAAGACACCCAGACACCCAGACACACACGCGCGCGCGCACACACACACACACACCTACCTTGCAAAAAAATTTTTTTTCCCACCTCGTCTCTGAACCTGTCTCCTCCCAGGTTTCTGCTCTGGAGAAGATTTTCTAAACCAAACAGACAAGCAGGTGGGCAGCGTGAGAGCCAGCCCAGCGGTCCCTTGGCAAGGGGTCCCTCATGCTGAGGAGGGCGTGGGCTCTTTCCTGTCTCTGGCGTTTTTATCTCTGGACCCTTCTGAAGCAAAAGACCAAGGCGAGACCCCTGCCGTGGAAGGAACTGTGCTGTGCCTCATGCAGGCTGGGGACAGGACAACTGCAGCTGTTCTCTCCAGCTGCCCACTCTGGGGACCTTCCAGGGTCTGGAAGTGGGCACTGGTCAGTGGGGAAGCAGGGCTGGCCATGGGGTCCAGGGGACCTGGTCGGGCCCTCCTCTTACCTTCAAAGATGGAGATGGCTTGGCCTCCTTCTCTGCCCTCTGGTGGCTGGCTGGGGCTGTGCTGGGTCCCCTTGACGCTAGTGTGGAGGGCGTCTAGGGCCAGCTCCAGGAGGGCCTGGGAGACAAGCTCTAGGGTCCACCTTCCTCCTCGATGGCAGGAATTTTGCAGTCAGAGATAGGATGCTTTACTGGCTTTCTTGGCTTCCTTGGGTCCATTTGGTGGGGCTCCCCTTGGGAGAGGCACCACAGAGGAGGCAGAAGAGACCGAGGCAGGGTGAGTGTCACAGCACCGTCTGGTCTCTGGAGCTCACTCCTTTTCTCCTCTCCCCTCTCCTTGTTCCCCGTTCTCTTTCCTCATTTCCGAGACACACGTCAACTGTCTGTACATAACGAGGCTCCTTTCGCAACATAGGTGTATATCCACGCCCGTATACATATATCCTGTGGTCTCCCTTTTCTTTCCTTTTTCTAAGAAACGAAACTATGGAAATAATACCCCACAGATGAGCGAAAATGTATTATTGTAAAGTTTATTTTTTTTAATAATGTTGTCTATAATGGAAAAAAAAAATGGAAATGGACTCCTGGAGCCCCACTCCAGGTGGGCTGATGGGGCTGTGGCCGGGGACTCCTGATCCGAATTCACTTAACCAAGGCTCCAATAAACGTACTAGGAAGCAAGCCGCCTTGTGCTTCACTGCCCTGTGCCTTTGGCCCAGTGGGCCCAATCCCACCTGTTGGGGGCTTACCTGGGGCTCCCGCAGCACTTGGGGAAGTGTGTGCGCATGTGTGTGTATGCGTGTGTGTGCACGCTTGTGCCTCGTCCAAGCGTCTCTGTGTGGATGGATGGAACTCCCTCCCAGTGGAGATGGCTTTACACCCGGCAGGCCTGGCGGTCTCGGCCGTAGCGAGTTGGAGGTCCCTTTGCCTATTCACACCTGCCTCCCCTTCCTCGTCAGTATTGGAGCCTGTTATTCCTGGACTGGAAAACAGCAGTGAGAGGTGGTTGGGGAGGAAGAGACAGCCTGGCGCCACCACGCTTCCGGTATGATTTGGTCTCCAGGCAGCCTGAGTGGCCCTGTCCATTTTCTGTCCAGTTACGTCCCTCCTGGGACTTGTGGTCTGTTTGAGGGATGTGAGTGTGAAGACAGGCACCTGGCCTCTTGGGTCCCCCCGGAGGAGGAAGATGACTGAGCATTTTGCGGTCAGGGTTCCCTTCCACCCCTTCCTTCCCTCTTTGTGTCGGCCGTGATCTCCCAGGGGCTTCTCCCCAGAGAGCACCGCAGAATGCCTGCTGGTGGAAAGTGCACACCTGTGTGTGTATGTGAGCACCTGTATCAGCTGTGCATGTGTCCACAGCAGGCAGCAGGAGGGGAAGGGTGGACGGGCCCATGCCTTTAGGGCCACACGTGATCCATTCTGTCACCGTTGAGTGATGGGATGACATTTTCCAGCCTCCTGGTCCTGGGTCCACTCCGATGCCTCTTGTTTCTGGTTGCACATGTGTCAGTGGCATCTGTTCACAACAGGACACTGCTGTGTGGTGCCCAGGCTCTGCCTGGAGGTAGGACAGTGAGCCAGCCAGCTCTCTGTCCTGCCATTGCTGGCCTTGCAGTGGACAGTGGTGAGCTGATGTCACCTGGGAATCTATGCTGCTTGCAAATGGCTCAGACAGTAATTCACTGCAAGGCTGTGCGGGGAGGTGGCTCACAGCGTCGGAAGGAGGACCGGGGGCTGACTGGGATCGGAAAATGCCTGCAGGTCTGCAGGGCAGGATCCCCTGTCCATCCACGTGCTGCTGCCTCCGTGACAAATGGTCACCAGCTGGCTGAAGTGGCCCTTGTGCCTCCTCCATCCGTTCTTGGGAGGATGAGCATATGTCCTGATTGGTATTTCTAATAGGAAGTAAGCTCTAGGGTGGGGTGGGGGGTGTGTGAAAATATCTCAGAAGGAACCAAGGTGTCACTATGAAGGAGGAATGGATGCAGGGCAGTTTTACTCCGTCTTCAAATGTCTCCTGATTCATGTAGCACTTGGCTGAGATTTTACCGGTAAGTATTCGTTCCTTTGGTTGGGATGATTCCTGTTCTGTGTTCCCTTCAACATGTGTAAAGAGCGGGACAGAGTAAAAGGGTCATTATCTTAATGTTGATTTAGTGATGTGGATGACTGGAGGACATGAAGATATTTGGGCCTAGGTGTTGAGATTAGGGTTGGGGGAACAGATGAGGGCGAATAAACAGGAAAGGGATCAGGAGCAGATTGGCCATCAGAGATTCTGGAGTTATTTTGGGGAAAGTGAAGCCCCAGGCAGTGGAGGGCCCTGTGTGCTCACCTCAGAGTGGGCAGAGCATGTAGAGTTAGCGTCCTTTGCCACTGGCATCTGTCTGCAAGACTGTCTCACCTCTGCGCTTGGTTCAAGGACTGGGGAGGTCTGAAACCGCGGGAATGCTTCTGCCCTGTAGGGAAGTTTCCAGCATGGGTATTTATCCCTAGCCAAGAACCCAGGCACTCTCTGTACACCTGGCTCTGGCCTCTGTATCGTTCCTCGCAGTGCAGTGAAGGCCACTGGCCCAGGACAATGGCTCAGGTGAGTCCTGCAGTGGGGACTAAGGAGATCCACTGCAGGGCTCAGGGTTCTGGATTCAAGTGAGCAGGGACACTCATTCCACACAGACCTGATGGTTGTCCTCACAGCCAGGCCTCTGCATTGTTTTGAGACCAGTCACAGGGGTGTCCTCTGAGTTCCTGGTATCCCGAGCCTTGCCTGTGTAACATGGGTGGCAACAGTTTCTAGGACCCTGGGTCCAATCCTGCTCTTTCTGGCCCTTCCAGGAAACAAGTTCTGCCTGGGAAGCTCAGGCCTGTGGTGAGCCCTGCTGTCCCCAGCAGACCCTCCCGATGCCAACCAGTTCTTGGCCTGCCAGAATGGCCACCCCTCACCTTTCCCAGCCTCCCACCATGGCTCAGTGGCTCACTGGGATGCTCACTGCTGCAGGCTGCCCAATGCTGGGCCTGTCGGTTCTTCCTCCCAGGGTCTGCTGGTCTACCTGTGGTGGCTTCACTTCATGCCAAAGGATCTTGTGTTTGTGTGTCTCTGTGTGTGTACCTCCCTGGCTTCTAGCTATGGACTGCCAAATCCTTGTGTAAGACACAGACTCCTAAACTCAGAGAGGCCCAAAGCTGCAGTGTTGCCTGCTGGTTGGAAGAATCCTTTGCCAGGATTTTCTAATCTGTGAAGTGAGTTTACATCAGACAACCCCTGCCAAGTGGACTAGTCCCGTATTTCATTAATACAAGGCCACGTACTCATAGCCCATTGCCCATACTTCTGAGTCTCCATGGGTGTAGACATTTAACTCTTCAAAATGGATGAAATTTTTTTTAGGAAAAGCGAAAGTCATTTGGAACAAAAACTGGTAAACAGGGTGGGTGACATTCTTTGGAGTCTAAGTAGTAAAAAGGCTTCTGGTCACAGGAAATCTTGTCACCAGGTTCGACCTAGTTTGTCTTGCCTATGGACTTAGATGACAACTAAAGTCCTTCACAATGCTAAACAGGCTCTAGAAGAGAAAAAGAAACCCCAAGATGGACAGAGGTTGACTCTGAGGTAGACACTAAGAAGTCTGCCTGGTTTTCCTGCCCAGTGCATCCATTGCCCCTGCAATCCCTCCACTAACACTCTGGACAGCAGAAGCACGCCCAGGCTGCTGGTTGACTGCTTGGAATTTAAAAGCCCAGATGCATTTTTAAAACCCCAGCCGTACTACTTCCTCGAACCTTCTACATGAAAACAAATGGCACACATAGAAAGGCTCTGAAATCTCTGCAAAGATGATGTTTACAAAGTCAAGGCTGAGCGGGGTGTCGACTCACCAGTCCTTTATTTGCCATGTCCCGCTTTTAGCATGAAGTGGGCATTTCTGCTGTATCCTCCCTGGGAGAAAAATGGGATCAAATATTTTGGAAGGACTTTAATAGCATAAGTGAAAATAAAAACAAATTAGAATGTCGATACCTGAAAATATGCATACCTTGAAATTTAACTCATGATTTAACTCACAGCCCTCATCAGAAGCCCGATGTTCTGAAACTGCAAATGTTAATTCATTGAATTCCTCCTGGGACCAGAGAGGTTGAGGCCCTACCCCCATTCTACCAAGCAGACTAAATTTGCCCAGAGGAGTTCCTGCCTTGTCTGAGATGGTACAGAGGGGAAGTAGCAGAGCTCAGATTCAAACCCGGGCAGCTGGCTCAAAGGGCAGCTTGCACTGGCACCCAGAACTGAACACTACATGTGCCCTGCCTGTGTTCCGGGCAGTTTCAGCTGACCTGGGGTTACTGTGGTGTCTCCCCTTCCTCTCCAGCACCCTCAGCACCTGGCGCTTTAGGGTCAAAGGTAGCAGAGCATCAACAGATGCAGAGCTGGCTGTGCCTTTGGGAGCCTATAAGGTAATGGGGAGGGAGTTTTATAAATGACTCCATGAAATCAAAGGTGGTGTGGACTTGGAGGAAGGGAGGAGAGGAAGGAAGGGGCTCCTTGATGACATGGGCCCCAGCTCAAGGCCTTTCTGGTGGGGCAGAGGAGGATAGAAGTGGGCATGCCACTTCAGTGCTATTCAGTTTTTCTAGGATTGATGAAGATATTGTTGGAAAATGGCTTTGTTAGGAGACAGCCTCTCCAGGAAAGAGCCTGACCAGCTGGGATCCTCTTGCTTGCTTGATTTTGACGTTCCTGCCCCATGGTTAAGAGGAGAGAGGCTAAACTCAGGGATTAAGAAGACTTGATTTAAATTCCAGGGCTGCTACTGACCAATGGGGAAATTATATCAAATCTGAGCTTCAGTTTTCTCATCTGTAAAATGATGTCATCCAGTCTCACAGGCATGCTATTGTGATGACATGGGGTATCTTGCCAGTGCCTGGCATACAGCAGGCTCTCAGCCAAGTGCTCCCTCACCCAGTGGATTCACTGCCCAGGCCCCCATGAGCCCTCAGTACCTGCCCCACTGACCAATCTCTTCCTCTGGGCTTTAGCCTTGGATCCTCTCTTGTTTCTCCTTTCTGTGTCCTAAAAAGCTTTAGAATCTCTGGGGGCAAACCAGTGAGTGTGACTGTCTTCAGGCCCCAAGCTACAGGATATCCAAACGTTACACTCTCTTAAGTCCCATTGATTGACTGCCTCCCTCTCCATGCATGAAGGCAGAGGGTGTGCAGCTGGAGCAACCGCACCAGCTCAAAGCTGAGAACAAGAAGTGTCGATTTGTCCTGGAGTTGAGCTGAGGGGACTGTTAGTGCCTATGGGAAGGAGGCTGGTGTGTGGTCCCTGCTGGGGCCAAGCAAGAGCAGAGCAGGATTTGCTACCGTGACTCTGAGGAGGTCCCTGCAGGGAGGGCCCTGGGCTCCCAAAGTCACCTAATGTTTTCTGGTCAGAGCTGTCTCATCCATGTGCTGCTTCTTATAGAAAACACCTGGGAATGAGGTGAGGGTGTGATGACATGTCAGAATCATTTTCTTTCCTGGAGGAATCAAGTAAAGAGGCAGGGGACCCAGGTTCAAACCCTGGCTCTGCAATCTGCTAGCACCATTAGTTAAGAGTGAACCTTTCTGAGCCTCAGAAAGGTTGCTCTAGATCAGGAGTCAGCAAACTTTCTCTGTGAAGGGCCAGACAGGAGACACTATGGGTGAGGTGGCCTGTGGCATATCAGTTGCAACTATCAACTACCACTACAGCTCAAAGTCTGTCACAGGAAATATATCAACAACTGGGCCCGGTTGTGTGCCAATAAAACGTTATTTATAGAAACAGGTCCAGGCCCAGTCTGGTCCACAGTCCTAGATGTTCTAGATGCTGTCTGAGTCTGAGCTGTTAATCGCAGGCAGTTGGGGCACAGAATGATGGAGCAAGGGGTGATTGGTCCCTGGTGGGGCTGAAGTCAGCCTTGGCGTAGAGGAGGAGGAAAGGCAGGTCTGCCAGCGGATGTGAGCTCATGGGTGAGCTGGTGGTAGAGAAAGCTGGGTAAAGGGTCCTACGCTGGGCCAGGGGTGCAAGGATAGAAACCAGGTGGCCTCTGGGCCACAGCTTGGGGCTGTGTGTGTGCCACTTCAAGGTTGTGCTCTGCATGGGGACATGGGACCAGCAGTGTGCATGGGGCTGAAATCCAGCCGCATTAAACTCACCCATCTGCGCACCAGCTCAGGGCTGGACACCATTCCCTAATTTGCCCAAAGGCTTCTGCGTTTGAGTGGAGGACCTGTGGCACAGGCAAGCAGGGCTGTCATTCCGGGCTGGTGGGGAGAAGAGTCAGGTGGGCAGGTAAGTCTGGATTTGCCAGCAGGGCCCTGAGAACCCCACATGCCTGTCGGCGGGCCACTTCCCCTTTTCGATTCCCCTTTCATTATCTGCAAAGTGAGAGTGCAGAGCACCTACTCTCCAGGATCCTCCCGATGTAGGATCCTGTGGGGCTCTGCTGCTGGTGGATTCTGAGCTCAACAGCCCAGTGCAAGATGACTTGGAAGGAGACAAAATGCACCTCTCTTTCAGCGAATACTGCCACCCTGCTTGTTGCTGCAAATTTTCACCACAAGTCTTGTGCAGGGCTCTGGAAGGTTGGCATGGTGCTCACTTTGGGTAGTAGGGCCAGCCATGGGGGGACACCTCACTCCGTCCTGTTTCTTCTTCACAATGGCATTTCTAGGGAAGCCAGGCTTGGGACCGCGTGGAGCAATGGTCCCTAGCCCCTAGCCTGGCCTCCTTCCTAGGGGAGGGCACATTTGAGTCATACCTAGACCTGGAGACCATCCAGCAGCCAGAGATCATGGAGGAGACTCCTGCATGAGGCCCACCCAGGAAGAAAGTGACTAATTCCCCCTTAAACACCTCTGCAGGAGGGAGTTTGTTCAACCTTGTGGGGGCCTATACTCCGGGTGTGGAAGCTCCTCAGCCAGAGGGAGAGGCTTCCAGGAATAACGGTTCCTTGCTTTTTCCTAGACCCACACAGTGGCTGCCCCCTCCCATCTCCTTCCCTGCTGGCCAACATATAGGAGGTTGGCAATTTAAGAGAAAGGTCTCTGCTTTCACTCTAGTTCTTTTGAAAACCAGAGTCCAGCCTGGTTGGCCAAACAAACCCTCATGGGATGACACCTACTGGCTCAGTACCCCCTTCACTTTTGTCTTCTGTGGAAGATGAAAGGGCTTTTTTAGGAGCCCAGCAACCCGAAATTACTCTTAATTTCTGTTTTGTGAGCAAGCTGGCTGAGTATGAGGCCGTGGTGACAGGAAGGACCTGTCCTACAATGCTTCCTTCTGGGAAGTGTATTTATAGCATTTCTACCCTGACTGCCTGGGTGGCTGCCGAATTAACCTCTTCCACCTGAAGAAGAATTGACCTTATTGCTAATGAGATGTCGTCCATGGCTATTGCGATCCATGACAGTGATAGCCCTTCATTCCAGCCCCTCAAACTTACCTTCCTGCAATCGCACTGTGCAGTCCTGGCAGCCTTGCAGGACTAGAGTAGCCCCAGGCAGTTTGAGGAAGGTTTGTGGTGGACTGTGCTGCAGATGGGAGGTCGGGCTGAGCTGGCTCTGCTGGCTTTGGACGTGGGTTGGCAGGACTGGGAAGGACCTGCCTCGTTGAATCTGTATCTTGCACCAGACACCACTCAGTGAGCAGGCCCAACATCCTGGGGAAGGCTCAGCCCAGCTCAGGTTCTGGACATCTCTGTGGATTCAGGTGTCCATGACTTTAGAATGGACACTGGCGTCTTTCCCAGGAGGCTCCTTTAGAGTTCTTACAGCTTTTCCACAAGAGCTCTGACTTCTGTCCCTTGGGGCTACTGCCCCCGGCACCACTCCCTTCCTCCCCTGTGTCAAGCTAGGGCTACAAAAGGCTTAGGCACGCAGGATGGGGCTTAGACCTGGGTGTATGGCGTGCATGCAGATCAGCACCCTTAGTTGGTGTTAGAAATTCAGCTCTGCACAGACTTGGAATCTAGTCATTTTCTTCCTGGAGTCTCCTCCTTCATCCTTTCTCTTCCAGAGCCTTCTCCATATGGTTGGCTTCTTTCCTCCACCTTCTGGTACCTTCATTGTGCAGGCCCTGGGAAAGGCTTTTTCCTCCGAGTCTCTACTTTGGGTTGGAACTGGGGCATCATCTGCTACAGTTCCTGAGTAAGCTGCCCCCCGGTTTCATCTCGATAGCCCCTCTCACCTTCTGCCCGTTATTCAGTCCAGCTTCTCTCCTCCACGGGGAAGGCAGCAGGGAACAGAAACCCATGGGGAATGCACCGCTACATCGGGCAGTCATGCCACTCATGAGGTTTTCCCAGTGATTGCTGTTTTTCCCAGTAATTGGCCTCTTCAAATTTCACTGTGCACTTTCTATACCTCTCCATCAGTTTGGGGCAAAACTCTCCTCACTTGAATTAATTGGGAGTTTGAAAGGAGGCTTGTATAAATGAATAAAACCAGCTGAATTACAAAATTTTGCTTAAACAAAGAAATGAAGCATAATCTCTTTGAAGTGGATCCAGCCTTTTTAATGGCCTGTGAGACCCTCTGTGAGCTGGTCCTGATGACCTCTCTGACCCCCTCTCCAGCTGCCCACTCCCCGCTCACTCTCCACCAGCCATGGCGGCCTCCTTGCCGGTCTCTGTGCACCTCGCTGTCACTCACCTTCAAATCTTTGCAGGGGCTATGCCATATACCTGCACCTTCTCATCGCAGCTGGCTCCCTCCCTGCCTTCAGTTCAGCTAACTGAAGAGACTTTCCCTGTCTAGAACTTCCTTCTCGCCTCCTATCGTGGGACTTCCTGTTCTAACACTTTTCCAAAGCACTTGCTGTCTTCCACCAGAACATGTATACATATATGTTTGTGTCCACTCCCACACAGCTTAATGACAGGGATCTGTCCTGAGAACGACATGGATTTCTTCCTTGTGAGGATGTCACAGCATTTACCCAAACCTACAGGGTCCAGGTTGCTCACTCAACCTCATGCCCTCAAGAAACAGTAAACACAAGCTGCATGACGCAGTTGCTGACAGAACACAGCATGCTGTACTATAGAAACTTGTTTACAGGTAGAAGGAGTACACCCTAAAACAGTGATAGAAAGTATAGTAAATGTATTAACCAATAACATAGTGATTTATACCAAGTATTATGTACTCTACATCATTGTGTGTGCTATACTTTCATATGACTGGTCCTGCAGTGTCTTTGTTTTTACCACTACAGAAGAGCAATGTGTCACCATACGGGTGTTATGAAAGCTGTGACATCGCTAGGCGATAGAACTTTATCAGCTCCATTATAGCCTCATAGGATCTCTGCTGTTGTATTGGCAGGCAGTCTGTTGTTGACCAAAACATCATCACATCATGCAGCAAATGACTTTTCTGTGTGACACACACACACACACACACACACACACAGTGATTGAAACATACGGTGAATACTCGAAATTTAAAAAAATTTATTATAGTAAAAGACACATTGTCATTAATCCTCCTCACAATACTCTCCCTCAAACACTTTTATCCTATCATTTTTGCCACTTTCTGAAGCAGTTGTGGAAGTCCTCTTTTGTGTCTTCAGTTGTACTGTCATGGCTGCCTCGATGTTCTGAATTGATTCTAAGCATTTACCTTTTATGATCATTTTGACTTTGGGGAAGAGTTAGAAGTTGCGTGGTTACAGATTTGGTGAATAAGATGGACAAGGACACACTGTAATATTTCGATGAGTCTGCCTTTCTGTTGGATGGCACTGGGCAGTGCATTCACCATATTTTTGA